AATCAACCCAGAGAAGCAGAGAATCCTTTTTTAAAAGTTGGCAAGGAAAATGTGCATCATGTGATTTGTTTATATTATTAATCAAYTAGTGTCACAATCTAACACTAAAATATAAAATAATAAAAATGTGGTAACACTGAGGCAGATCTTTCTTCCTATGTGTTGRTAGATATAAAATGTACTTCCCATGTGGTTTTTCCTTGTATTTTTTGGTATAATATCTAATCATCAAAAATAGAAAAATTACAAAAGCTTAGGCAATTTWAAAAAATCTATAAACCGTTCTTCAAGGTTGTGGGAAAAGGACAGAAACGTCACGGATGCCTGGTCGTTGGGTTAAAGGCAGTTGTGTTTTGCCCTGGGAAACAGTCTTTGCAGAAGCTGGCAGGATGTGCGAATGTCATCCTTATTTCTCTTGTTCCAGAATATGCTGGTGGAAATAGAGCAGAAGGTGGTGGCCTTATCGGAACTGTCCGTCCACAATGAAAACCTGCTGCTGGAGGGCAAGGCTCACACCAAGGATGAGGCTGAGCAGCTGGCGGTGAAGCTGAGGACCCTCAAGGGGAGCCTCCTGGAGCTGCAGAGAGCCCTGCACGACAAGCAGCTCAACATCCAGGTGAGGGCTTGCTGCTGGAGGGTCTCTTCAGGTGTGTGGTCCAGAGAGGGAGAGGTGGGTGGGATGCACACCTACCACACTGACCCGTCAGCATGCTATGTGATTTACACTGACTTCAGCACAGAATTTAAATAGTTGTGTTAGAATTACTTGATGCCATCAACATAAGAACCGCAGTTGTGGGAAAAGAAAGTACAAATAATTATGCCCAAATTGAAAGGCAGGTCATGGATGTAGATATGCTGCAACGTGGTTCCATTTCTTTTTTATTTCTCCCACCTTCACTTCTTTATATATGCTCAGACTCTTTTATTTGGTGCCCATGTTTTAGTCAGCTGTTTTGCAGCTGTGACTAAATGACCCAACCAACACAACTGTAGAGGAGGAAACATTTATTTGAGGGCTCACAACTTCAGAGGTCTTAGTCCATAGAGGCCAGCCCCATTCCTCAGGGCTCAAGGTGAGGCAGAACAGCATAGTGGAAGAGTGTGGCCAAAAGGAAGCAGCTCACATGGTGATCAGAAAGCAGACTCTCCACTTCTCAGATACAAATAKATAGCCCATAGCCATGCCCCCAACAAACCACTTCCTCTAGCCACACCTCACCTGCCTCCAGTCACCACCCAGTTAATCCCATCAGAGATTAATCCACTGATTAGGTTAAAGCCCAATCATTTCTCCTCCAGACCTCCTTGCATTGCCTTACACGTGAGCTTTTGGGGGCACCATATCTAAACCATAACTGCCCACACGTTAGAATCATCATGTATTTCAGGTGAAGTGAACCTTTTCATATTGTGTAGGGATCTTAATTTTCTCTAGTGGTAATTTTCATGTCATATTGCTACAGCTTTTTATGTAATATTTGCCTGAATTATCTTTTAACTTACCTTTGATTTCTACCTTTCTGTATTTTTATGTTATAGGGTTATTTTTTTGTAAAGAACAGTTAGTCATATTTTCTTGATTTTAAATACTTAATAATGAAAATCCCTAATARTGAAAATGGATTAAAAGGCAAGTTTAATACATTAAGTTTATCATGATTATTGATTCTTTAGCTTTTATTATTTTACTCTTTGTTTTCTATTTTCATCCTGCTGTTTCTCTTATTCTTTGTTTTTGACATTCATATTTTTAAGTGACTGAGTGATCTTTTTTGATTTTAATCCCCTCTGTTTTACCATGCATACCTAATAAATTCTAAGTTAATATACTAATCTCCCTCCAGAGCAATATACCTTAGAAAACTTTCATTAAGTTCCTCCCATGCACCTTTTATACTATAATTATGCAGCCCTTTCATTCTTCTTAGTATCTATAACTTACTGTTATCATCCTATGAAAAACTTAAGCAAATATTTGTTGAGGAGTTACTGTGTGCCAGATACTATTATATGTGATGGWGTGAAGGAGCATGAAAAACAACTTATATCTATATCTGTTCCTATCTTCAGGAGATTAAGGTTTAGGGGGCAGGTAATAAATAAAATTAGAATGAATTATTATATAACAAGATTATAAAAAAAATATTGGTGACCTAGCAAAAGGCAAGAGGATAGGGAAAGGCAGGGCTGGGAGGATTTGCAGCTTTAAACAGGGTAGCTAAGGAATCTTTGCAAAGTTTACACTGAAGGATGTACCATGTGGATGTGAGGGAAGAGAGTTCCAGGCAAAGGGAAGCAAGTACAAAGGTTCCCAGTCTGTCCAAAGTCAGTGTGGCAGGAAAGGAGTAAGAAAGAGGAGAGCAGTAGAAAATGAGATCAGACCATGCCTTAGCCTGTTAGGCTGCTATAACAAAAATGCCATTATCTGGTGGCTTACAGACAACAGAGATTTTTTATTCACAGTTCTGAAAGCTGAGAATCCAAGATCAAGGTGCCAGCAGATTCAGCATCCAGGGAGAGATCTCTCTCTCTCTCTGATTCATAAATAGTGTCTTTTCACTGTTCCTCACATGGTGGCAGGGAATATCTGGTTTTCTGGGCTCTTTTTAATAAGAGAGCTCATTTTGTTAGTAATCACCTAAAGTCCCCACCCCCTAATATCAYCACCCTGGGAAATAGATACATCTTCAGACCATAGAAATGGGCAACAAGAGGCCCTGGGACTGAAGGACCTGTGAGCATCTTGTGCACTTTGACTTTGATTCTCGGGAAAATGAGAAGTTATTGGAGTCTTTGGGAACAGAGCACTGATATGATGACCTTGTACCTGTTATAGGGGACCAGGGTGGAAACTGAGGGACCAGGGAAGAAGTCATCATGGCACAGAGGAGCAGGTGTCAGAACTTGTCAGATTCTGGGTCATAGAGATGAGGAGCAGATTTGGGGGAAGAAGGACCAGCTGGGTCAACGGATTGTTTTTAGGTTAAGATGCCTATCAAAATGTCAAGTAGTGGTGGAAATTCAGGGCAGACATCTGGTCTGGAACCATTAGCCTCTGTCTTCTATTTTCTCAGTGTAAGATGAAATATAACACAAGGTAATATATTTTCTCAGTTTGAACTAATGTATGTATTTTTCAGTTTTTTGCTTAATCATATGATCAGGAAAATCAAATCTAATCAACTTGAAACTTTTAGAAACCATGGAAGAATTTAGGAAGATCATTGGTTTGTTAAAAATAATCCTCAGTACTATAATAAACAAATAATCTGTAACTTTCATATATACAAACAAAAAACAAGCCAGGCTCAGTGGTGCATGCCTTGAATCCCAGCTACTTGGGAGGCTGAGACAGGAGGCAAAAGTTCAAAAACAGCCTAGGCCATTTAGCCAGACCCTGTATTAATATATGTATTTTTAAAATTTTATAAAATAGGACATGTACCTCAGTTGTAGAGTGCTTGCTTGGGTGAGGCCCTAGACTGAATTTCCAGAATTCAATTTCCATTACAAAAAAAAAAAAAAAAGAAGAAGAAAATAACTATAAAGTTCTGAAAATGAAGAGTTATCAGGGGTCATTAGTTTAATATATTAAAATGTAATATTGCATAATTAAAATAGTTTGACATTGGCACAAAAATATATAAGTAAAAATTTAACAGCATAAATATTCCAGAAAGGGATCTTGGCATATAGAGGAATATAATAAATGTTTAGGGTGGCATTACTAGTCAGTAGACAAAACATGACTCTCTCCATAAATAAATAGGCAAATCACTTGAAATATGATAAGCTGGGTCTTTTACCCTATTTATTTTTGTGATACTGGGGATTGAACCCAGGGGTGTTCTACCACTGTGCTACATCCCCAATCCTTACTATTTTTCATTTTGAGACAGTGTCTAGCAAAGTTRCTGAGGGTGGCCTTGAACTCAGGATCCTCTTGCCTCAGCCTCCTGAATCACAGGAATTATAGTCATGCACCACCATACCCAGCTCCTCCTCCTTTTTTTTCTAAACTGAAAAAAAATGTATCACAGATGGATTAAAGATTTAAATGTAAAAATTAAATCCTATGAAATGTATCCTATGTATAAGTATTGTTTTTTTAATCACATAAGACAGAAAATTTCTGCCAGTATGCCCTGAAGCCAGAATTTTAGTTTTTCTTATACTACTTTATGAAAGTAAAAATGTTTTGATGAAAAAAAAGAAAGAAAATTAACCAAGATAAAAGACATACAAATAGGGAAGAAACTATGTAATTCACAAATCTTTTATAAGTCACTAAGATATCATGGCCTAATAGAAATAGGGTCAAAATGTATAAAGAGATACCTCAAATAAAAATAAAAAGAAATGGCCAATGAACATGTGAAAAGATGGTTTGAACTCTCTATTGGATAAATTAATGCCAATAAAAACAAAATACTACTTTCCCTTTAAACTTACATCCTTCAAGGAAAAAAAAATTGTGGAGACCCTACAGAATGGGAGAAAATATTTCCCAGGTACTCTTCTGACAGTTTATGTAGGATATATAAAAACCTCAAAAAACAGCACCCAAAACCAACCCAATAAATAAATGGGCAAATAAACTAAGCRGATACTTCTTAGAAGAAAAAATACAGATGGTCAACAAATACATAAAGAAAAAGCTTGACATCTTGGTCAATCTGGGAAAAGCAAACCMAAATTACTAATTACTAGTATTGTGATTACTAATTACAATACTAAGATTTCATCTCAGTCCAGTTAGAATGGCAGTCATTAAGAACAAAATATAATAAATGTTGGGTGGGGGAAGGAGTGCTTATGCACTGTTGGTAAGACTGTAAATTAGTATGGGTGCTCTGGATCAGTATGAAGCTTCCTCAGAAGGCTAGGAATGGACCTACCATATGGCTCAGCTATACCACTCCTTGGTATTTAGTCATAAGAAAGAAAATCAGGGTATAGCAGCCGTACACACATACCCATGTTCATAACAGTCCTTACTAGCCAAGTTATAGAACCAACTAGGTGTCAGTCAGCAGATGAATGAACAAAGAAAATCTGGCATTTATACACAGTGGAGTTTTACTCGGTCAATAAAGAAGAATGAAATGCTGTCATTTCCAACAACATAGATGGAAATGAGAACATGTATGTTAAGTAAAATAAGCCAGACTCGAAAAGACAAGGGTCATATGTTTTCTCTCATATGTGGAATCTAAAGAGAAAAACAGGGGAAAAGGAGAGAGAGGGGGAAAGGGAACATCTCATGAAAATAGAAGGGAGACCATAGAAAAAGGGAGGAAAGGGGACCAGGGGAGGAGGAGAGGGGAAGGGAGCTAGTGGGAAATTAAATTGACCAAATCCTGTTTGGGGGTGTGTATGAGTATGTCACAGTGAATCCTGCTGCTATATATAATTATAATATGCCAAAAAAAATTAAAATAAATAGATAAATTTACCTCCTCAAAATGCAACCTGACTATAATTAAAGTAAAAAAATGTTAAGAATATTCAAATTGCACAAAACTAGTGTGAAAGTGCACAGCTCCATTAGTTTTGTTCAAGGTTTTATCCTGTACCATGTGATGCCTTTTGGGTTTCCCTGGTGCTCTGTAG